TTCAATCATGTGTATCATAGCCATAGCCAAACAAACAATAGCAATCCCTCAATAATTGTTCTTTCATGTTCCCATGTATGAGGTGGAGGAAATCAATTTTGAATAATCTAACATTTAGCAGTGGTTGCCTAATAACATGTACTCCTTATTTTATTGTGAGCTGATTCAAGCCTTGGAGATTTCTTAATATATAATTTACGGTCTTAATTGAAAAATATTTTCAAAATTTTAAATCACTTATCTAATGATTAATCGGCATATTACAAACAAATGTAGATTTGCTTAATACAACACATTAATTCAAAACTTAGATTTTCAATCATGTGTATCATAGCCATAGCCAAACAAATCATGTTCCCATGTATGAGTTGGAGGAAATCAATTTTGAATAATCTAACATTTAGTAGTGGTTGCCTAATAAAATGTACTCTCATAATGTGATGAGGGACACTAGTTGCAGAATCAGTACCTAAAGATTAGTCGATTAACATTGTTCATGTTGAAAAGTGTGAATTGGGTTCACGCCAAAATTTTGGATTTTGATTTTTACCAACTATGAAATTCCAAAATTTTGATTTTTACAAACCCAACATTTTGCCTATATATGAAAATGTAGATTTCACTATTCATAATATTGAAAAGTGTGAATTAGGTATTAGGTTTGTAAAAATGGATAACATTTTACGTTCGCATGTTCAGACAAGGTCGTGCCTCTACCGTTCGAGCGATGTGGTGCCTGGCAGTTTGGCTGTTTGGATATGCGGGCCGGCCCGTAAAAATGACAATTTTGATGTGAGATATGTCATTGCGTAAGATTTGGGTGCTTTGTTTATAAATTTTTCCTTTTTTTTTTTTTTTTTTGGTGCAATTGTTTTTTTTAATAATATTTTTGTTAAATTTTTTAAACATATTAAATAAATTGTATTTTAAATTAAAATTAAAATCAAAGTAAATAAGAATGTCTAAAATGTGCAACAATATCATTCAAGTCAGAGTTGGAGTTTGTTTAAAATCAATTTGAATAGATAGTATGGCTTGAAGTTGGCTTTTGGCTCATTATATATGATTTTGAGCTAGCTAGGCTCAAAATTCAATTGAGCTTAATTCGACTCAAAATTACAACAAACTATATTCAGCTCGAGATTGAATTGAACTCAATGTGGCTTGAAATTGAAACAAACTGGCGCAAGTTGAGCTGATTGAATTTTTTTTTTTTTAAGTTTGAAATCATAGCTTCCGACACAAATTAAAACTTACAGGCTTAAATTGAGTTATTTGGATTCATTCTAGCTCTAAATTGATTCCTGGTTCCTAAGTTAAAATTTATTTAGCACAATATATGTAAATATTTGGCACCAATCTTGAGCCAATTTGAATTTATTAATATATAACTCAAAATCAGCTCGAAAAAAAATTCATTAATAAATTTTAATTCATAATTTAGCTCTTTTATTTCAATCACATCTGAGCTCTATCCCGATCAAATTTGTAACAAGTTTGCTCAAATTGAGTTCTTTGAATTCTTTATGAACTCGAAGTCAGTTTGATCCGATTCAGAATTTAGAACTATCAATCTCAGCTGAAGTTACTTCGAGTCAATCTCAAATCAATTTAAGCAGATTCATGTATGGATGGATACATACTCCAAAATTTTAGCTCTGACTCGATCCAATCTCGTTCGACCCAAAAGCTAAACTGAATGGGCGACTCCATTGCTGCAACCTCTTCACCACCATGATCTCCTCCAAATTTCCGGCGATAAAATGGACGGCGCCGCCGTCGGCCTCCCACGTCCTACACCTAATCCGCGCCGAGCGCGACGTCCAGAAAGCGTTACAGATCTTCGAATCCGCCTCCGGAGAGGACTCATCCGGCTACCGACATGATCATGCCACCTTCGCTCTCATGGCCTCCCGCCCCGCCTCCTCCTTCCTACCTCT